GGGGACACACAAAGAAGGAAATGAGCATAAAGGAAGAAATGACTACAGAAAATATGGGAGCTCAGCCAGTGTCTGAGAAGAAACACACTAGACACAAATGGTGGCAACATCGGTCCATAAATCCCACGCCATAATTGTGGAAGACTTCTTAACGCTGGCAGGTGTTGCTAGTCGTACAGACCATCGCCATGGGCTGTGAGTCCCATCCCTCCTCATAGCACAATATAACACTGTCGTCTGGAAAGACGGAAGGGTGCCAACAGTATAACTGCCATAAAGCTATGCAATTAAACGGGTTTCCGGAAGTTGTCTCTGACTGAATCTCATTTTTGAGATGTTAATTCAACGGACTGCAATCCTGAAAAGGTGGCAGGGGGTAGAAAAATGGGGGTGGAAGGAGGGGGCGCTTAAAAAAAATCGCACCGGTCAGTGTTATCCTGACCATATTCTCTCTTTCTCTCACACAAACAAAACGCGATGAGCAAGTTGCAGTGGGGCGATAGCTATTACGCTTGACTGACGACACATAGTTATGTGTTTGATTTCTAACTGAAGGCAGAGTTGTTTTTCAAACTGACCTCAACATTTAGGACAATAATAAGCAGTGAATCAGCCATTGTTTTAAAAGAAAATGTGTATACATGGATACGGGGGGGGGGGGGGGGGGAAGAGGGGGGGGGGGGTGTTAGGCGGCTTTTACTCTTCTTACACAATTGGCGGGTGGGGGGGGGGGGCGCTGAGCTCAAATCCCCTGATGATCGGGCTAAAGAACAGATGGGCAGTTCAAGGGACCTAAGCTTCCATGTTTCGGCGCCTATATAAACAATATTCCATGCCAAACAAAATCACCCTAGACAGTATTTTTTTCCCCCTTTAACCTTAACCCTGTATTGTTTTTTTTTTTTTTTTCTAGCCAGGAAACATGCCTTTCCTGATAATACATACACTCTAACAAGAAGTATTGGCTTATTGTTATTCTAAGTTAGGACAGATGCAGACACAAAAGTTTTAGAAAATTTGGACTATGCGGATGAGATCCGTCATATGGACGCTCAGGAAAAGATTGAAAGGCTTTAAACAACAGCCCTTAAGATAGGACTCAAAATAAACACCAGTAAAACTAGAGTAATGAGAAATAATTTCAATATAGAAAATCCAGTTATCTTAAATGATGAAGCAATAGAGGAAGTTGAAGAATTTATATACCTCACAATTAAAGTTACTCTAGATGGAGATTCTGAAAAGGATGTAACATCAAGAATTAACAAAGCAAATCAAGCAATGCCATGCTTAACAATATATGGACGTCAAAGGGTTTTAGTTTGAAGACAAAACTTAGAATATACAAAAGCAACATTTTGGAAATACTATTATACAACAGTGAATGTTGGAGAATGACAGCGGGAATCACACGTAAACTTGAGACTTTTCAAAATTAATGTTTAAGGGGAATTCTAAGAATATTTTGGCCAAACAAGATCACAAATGAAGAACTGAGGAGGAAAATCAAATGTGCATCACTGGCAAATGTTATCAAAATTAGACGATGGAGATTACTTGGACATGTTTGCAGAATGCCTTGTGACACTCTGGCAAAAACAGCTCTCCGGTGCACAGCAGATGGGAAAAGGAGACGTGGCGTGGACGACCGAAGGAAACCTGGAGAAGGACAATAGAACGGGAAATTTGACATGGGATACCATGGGCAGAAAAGCATCAGACCGGCAGCAATGGAGATCACTTGTGAATGCCTTATGTGTCAACAGCGATATGAAGAGGATATAGATAGATAATAGATAGACAGGAAAGTATCATTACATTAGTTTGGTATGCAGTAGGCAGTGATGGGTATCGCTGTATATTATATTGGGGGGGTGGGGGGGGGGGGGGTATAAAATATGTTTCTTAATGGGATGTGCGAAACCAGTTAAATACGACAACGACCAATTCCCAGGATGTCTGCTTTACGCCATTTTGTTGGGTAAATCAAAACAAAGACGGAAGGAGAGATCAACACAGAGTCATAAATAACTGGTCAGAAAATATAAAACGTGAAATTTTTGCTCACAGTGACCGGAATGTCCACCAGTAAAAGTTTTTCAAATTATTGAAAATAATTGAAGAAAAACACGTAGATGATGAACCGAAACATTAACAGTTAACTTTTAACAACAATTGAAATTGAAATTGAGTTTAAAAATAGAACAGAGTAACAGTAATAACAGTAAATACTGAAATCAGAAAAGTAAAACTTACAAATTACTGAATCTTTAAGAAATAAATATGTAAGAAAATGTACGGCTCTCTTCCGAACTTCGACCCGATATTATGGCGGCCATAAAATATACTTACGGGGCTCAGTTCTATTAAAGATAGGCCGGCTCCATATAATAATAACAAAACAAATGCTCTAACAGGGTCTCAGCGATATGTTACTTTTGGACCTGTTTCTATGACTGCCTCACCGTCGACCGTATCCCCTGCGCCGCTACACGCTGCGCGGATCGGGGCTAAACTAGATGGCTGGGACTCACGAGCAGCGGCTACCGCATCTCCTGCAACTTCCTCCAGTTAATTTGCTTGTGAGTCCCAGGCACCTAGTTTAGCTGCCCATCCACACCGCGCATAGCGGCACGAGGGATACGCTCGGCGGTGAGTTTGATTGCGTTTTGCGCATGAAATTATCGTTTGCTACTATCGTCTGCAGAAACATTCGAAATTGTCAACAGTCTTATCGCCTGCAATGTTGTGTCTCTTGAAATTGTCAAGTAATCCTAGTTTTGATGCGATTTGTTCCTTGGCAGAAAGTCCACATTTTACAAATGCCTGAGCACCGTAAGGATGGCCGCCATAATATCGGGTCGAAGTTCAGAGGAGAGCCAAATGTACATTAACACTGAGTAAGTGAGCAGGTATGGAAGAATGAAGAAATGAAAAATGATTATCCTCCAAATAACGGTCCCAAATTATCGAGGCCAAAAATATACCCTAACAGGGCCTCAGTCACATGTCAATTGTGGACTTCCGGCGACTTAAATTGTGCACTTCCGCCACCAGCGAGAGTATCTCCCACGCAGCTACGTGATGGCTAAGACTCACGAGCAGCAGCTACCGCATCTCGTGCAGCTTCCTTCATTTTATTTGCTCGTGAGTCCCGCTGGTGGCGGTTTAGTCCCCCGAAGTCCACAATTCAGCGATGGGCGGTATAGTCCCCGGAAGTCCACATTCGACATGTGACTGAGGCCCTGTTAGGATATATTTTCGGCCTCAATAATATGGGACGGTTATTTGGAGAATGGCATGAAAAAGTTCATAATAGATGATCGAATTGCAAGAGAAGATTTTTTTTTCAAAGAAAGTCTACAAAATCTTAAATAATGTATAGTTTATACAATGTATTGTTTGTGTCCAGTTTTCCAGAATACACTTATAATAAACAAGTGAAGGTATCATTTATAAAGTAACCAACAATTGAAACAATTTCATTGAAATGTTAAGTGATGACAAAAACATCCCTTAGAATAGACATTACTATGGAATGAGATTTGTCTTACATCGGAAGTAATGTGACATCAAAAAAATATTAGAAAAGTCTAGACTAAAATTAACTCGACTTGTGCATGTATCAAATAAAAATCAGTGATTAGAAATAGATCACAAAATAATCAGAATTTAGAACTAATCGGTACCTTTCCATCTCAGGGAAAATTTAGTAGGGAGTTACCGGGAAAGTCCAATATTTTATATCCTCCGAATAACGGGCACATATTATGGCAGCCAAAAACACACCCTGACAGGGCCTCAGTCACATGTAAATTGTGGACTTTCGGTGACTACCGCCACCGCCAAGAGTATCTCCCATGCTGCTACGCGCGGCATGGAGGGGAGCTAAACTAGATGGCTGGGACTCACGAGCAAATAAAGGAAGCTGCAGGAGATGCGGTAGCTGCAACTTATGAGTCCCAGCCATCTAGTTTGGCGGCGTGGGAGATACTCTCTGAGGTAGCGGTAGTCGTCAGAAGTCCGCAATTTACATGTGAGTGAGGCCCTGTCAAGGTGTTTTGGGCTGCCATTAAATGTGGCTGTTATTCGGAGGATAGCCTAGGGGTGTTAGGGTTAGAGTCAGTGTTCATTTCTGACCCTAACACCCCTATAATATTAGACTTTTTCTGGAACTCCCCAATAAACCTTGGATTTTCCCAAAATAGGGTAAACTTAAAGAAAAGAACCTGAAAGAGCTTGAAAGTGTTCTTGAATCACTCTCACTTGACATTAATTTACGTCTGTTGTCCTTTTTTCGAGGAAATAATAATGCCCTCTCCCTTTATGTTAATCCGTTTTAAACACAAAGCATGGATTTTTTATTATATTCCATCTCCACGATAAAGGTGGGCTACAGTGTACCACTGCTGTTTTGAGAACATTACATGGTAAGCATCCAGTCTCTTTCACCACATGGACCACCGTACAAGTGTCCAAATACCACAAGAACTTCTTCTTCGTGTTCAGTGACTTTAAACTCCGGCGGAAAGTTACGGGTAATTGTCCACCTCCAGACTTTAGTCTTGCTCCAAAATCTGAGTGTTGTGTGCATATCTGTTTAACAGATCTGGTTTATTTGTATGCACACTTGTGGTTCCTTGCCTCTCAGGCAGATGTACTCTGACCGAAGGATGTCCCCAATTAGTCGACTCCTACGACATGCTTGTTGTGGAGGCTGTGGGTCTGTTTTTGTTTCCCCACATTGGGGACCCAGGAACCCACACGTGGACCATAAGAACTGTTTTTGTTTTTTAAAAAAAACACAACTGACCACAGTGGAAATAAATGCTAGAATGACGATGATTGTGAAACTTGTCACTAATCGCTAAGCCATAGAATGACACTGGGATAAAATACTCGCATAGTGTTAAAGAATGTTTAAAATTATTTTGCTTTCATGTAATTTTCACCTTGTCCTGATCTAATGATTTCCTTTTGTTATCTAGACTGATTTCAGAATGGAGCTGGTGGTAGCAGTAGCTATTGGTGTTCTGTCTGTAGTGTTTGTAGCAGCATTGGTCACCTTGATAATGATACTGAAATACAAGTGCAGAAAGGTGGACCACTTAACAGAGGAGCATAACAAGGAATCTCGGTATTTCCCAGTTTTTCAGTTTTTTCCCAGTTTATTTATGTTCTTGATCTGATAAATAGTTTAACATAACACAAACTAGGAGGCTCAAAAGAAGTAAAGAAAATACAGTTGAACTATATGTTTGTTTGTATATGTGTGTGTGTGGTTCTGTTGTATTTGTACACATATTTCTCTGTATCTCTTTATCCGCCTCTTCTCTCTGTCTGTCTTTCTCTCATGCCATCTTGTTTCTCCCCCTCTCATTCTGAATAGCTTTTATTATGCTGATTGTTTTACGAAGATAACATGCTTTTTGATAAAATACAATTGATGTGTGGAAAATGGGTGTTTGGAAGGGCTAAACGTAAGATAGGCCTGCACACCCATTTTGTGACTCTTTAAAAAAAAAATTTCTGGTTTGTTTAGCTCCCCTCCCTTGTTTGCATATTCCTTATGTTTCCCCTCTCATTGTGTATCCTACACCTCTCTTTCTCTCTCTCTCTTTCTCTGTCTGTCTGTCTGTCTCTCTCTCTCTCTTCTCTGTTGTGTATCTCTTCCCTCTTTGTATCTCCTGTTCCATATTTATCTCTCTGAATCTCCCCTACCTTTTCCATCCCTTCTCTTACAGTTATATTATTAACATTACTTCTTTCTTTTCCTGCTGAATGAAGGCAAGATGCTCAACTGATTGTAGAGACTCCAGATGTGATCGGCTCACAGTCCAGCATGGATGTTGAGCTTGGTGATGTGCAGCTGATAAATCCAAGACTGGAGGAACTGCTCAATAATGAGCAGTGGGTAGATGATGCCACGTAAGTCTTTTTTAAACTTACCTTTGTTCTTCAGAAGCCTGGACTGCAGCAGACAGTTATGTGTTGGGTTATCTTCACGGCACTCTGCACATGTCCACAGATGCTCAGTTTCCCCTGTTGACATATACATCAGCGCCCTGCGGTTAATAACGCCAGTCCTATGCTGGTTACCAAGACTTCGTCTACGTCCAGTGTGCTTCTCATGCTTGGCTGTGCTGATCTTTACTCCCAATTCTCATATTCTTAGCAGTGATGTGGAGATGCTGCTCCAAAATCCTTGGATCTTCATATCTCTCTAAGGGCATTGACAGTGTCAACGTGATCATAGGCATCTGCAACTAGTGCAGAACCAGCCAGTTAATTAGCTCTTTCATTGCTAAAAAGACCTGCATTGCATGGGACACAGATGAAGGTAACTGCATGCACAAGGGAGTTTCTAATGACTTAATCTACTGTCTGCATACACAGCCTGCCTCGACCGGATCTTGCTGATAGAATCACTCAGCACACACACATGGAATGAGTTCTGTGATAACAGCCACATTAAAACTTGTGTCACCGCCATCACCTCCATCTTCTGCTGCTGGTAGTCGTTGAGAAGCCACCGCTGGCTTCCTGGATTGTTTTGCCTGCAGAGGGAGCTGTGAATGCCCATCCACTCTTGTGTGCTCGTACAACATATCCATCTGTGTAGATCAGCACATCTGCCTCATCTGAATTGTCAGTGATAAGCATGTGGACCTTGGCATCGACAGCAACAAGATTCTACTCCCGAAAGTCAAGAAGGTATCTCACTATTACACGAGAGTTTTATTTTGTGCACCCAAGAATAATGCTCATGGCTTCATTTTGCACCTTTTTGAGTCTTTCACTCTGAGAATGGCTAAAGTGTATTCGATGAGAGCAAGAACCAGTCCCTTGAAGAGAAGCAGAAGCGGTCTCTGCTCTGCATTGGCAGCAACCGGGACCTTCATTACTGACAGGCCTTTGCATGCTTTTGTTATGATGTGGTCAGTGTGTTCTAGAGCACACAGCTGTGATCCTGGCTCTCCGACACCTTTTGTTATCTGATTTATTAACTCTTTGAGTCCCAGGGAACGCATCATACGTTCATAGTTTCCTACCTTGAGGCCCAATGAACGTATGATGCGCTGATTTACGTCTCTCCTAACTACCCCTTGGGCCTGTAATGCTAAACCCCCTGGGATTCAAAGAGTTAAGTTGGCTTTTCTTATGTTTTTTGTGGCTGCTCAGTTGAATTGAGGTAAGAACTGACATCACAGCATTCGATACATTCCCATAAGCATTCCATCCCCATCTTCAGCACTTTTGTTTTGGGTACATGATGTTAGTCCTAATCTTTATTTATTGACTGATTGGTGATGTGTTTAAAAATCCTTCACTTCCCAGAACAAGTCCTGGTCCCTTGTTTAGGTTGGGACATCTGGGAGCATAGATCAGTTATAAATAATAATGTTTATTCGAACACACGGCCACCTGGATGATAGCAAGGACTACACTGTGGTTATAGTAAAACCTCTTTATTTGTGAATTAACAACCAAAATATGTAAGTTATATGAACATTATTTTTCATATTTATATACCATTATCTTCTAGTTTGATCTATCAGTCAGCATGGTGCATCTTCATCATCATTGTCCTGCTGTACCATTACATGTCACCTAGGGCTTGAAGTCCATACTGTTCTATCGTCTATGCAGTCAAGCTCAATATCATAGATGATCCAGTCTGGCACCTTTAGGCTCTCTCATAAATGTATGTGTTAGAGTTTCTTTTGGACATCCCCGCATCCTCAATCCCTTTTTTTTCTTCCCATGGTGCCTCTTGAGTAGAGGGGTTGAGTGGTCTTGAGGCATGGCGTTCGCCTCGAGTGCTGGAGCTCCGTGGTAAAGGCTGGGATTTTTTCACATGGACTTCTAGTAATTTTCCCCTGGTCTCTGTGTAGTAAAATCAGATGCCCTTGTGTATTGTTGCACACGTAAAAAAAAATAATCCCATGGCAGTTGGAAATTGAAATCGAGTAGCCTAACGGTGCTGCCCTGGCAAAATTTGATGTTAAAAAAATACACAAAATTTTTTAGGGATCCTGAGTTGGTACACTGCACTGAGATTCTTCAGACTCAGGCTTGAATTAGAAGTAGAACGGAGCACTTATGGGTTACTACCCTTGTGCCATGATGTTGACCTGTTGTTTAGACATAAAACCTAATCCACACAACAGTATAATGAAATGAAATGTCTCTTGAGCAGTATTTAAACCCTTGCAGAGCCCAGTCCTTTCTAGGTGGCCATGTTCTCATTAGTCTGAAGCCCCATTACCATTCTGTACCACAGGGAGGTGGTTTGGCTTGCATGATCACTGGAAGGAAGCAGGCTACTGGTTTTTACTTTTTACACTGCTAGGAGAGCTAGCTGCCACCAAGAACCATATCTACCAGCATTTCCAAAAGGATACTACAGGATGAGGGGGAAGAGGAGAAGCAGAAGACCCAAAAATGCCAGGTTGCAGAATTTGGCTGAATGGACAGACCTTAGACACACAAATATCAAGTCCATTGCATCTGACTGACAGAGGTGGGTGGGGTATAATCAGATAATGAACAGTAATTGGTGATGCAGAAGTGTGTGGTGTTCAAAAATTGTGATGATCTTCTAACTGTCAGGACAAATTATTTGTAGATTTATTTACTATATCTCAATGTTTTTATGAAACTTGTTTTCAGAGGACTAGTTCCCCATTGTCTGTCAATTCTGAAGACCTGTCATCAGTTAACTGAGAAGCTGGTTGGTATGACGATGGGCAATGCACCCAACATACGTACTCAGGAGACTCTTACAGAAATAGTGTCTGTTGCCAAGCGAATTAACCCACGAGTGGATGAAGTTGTGCGATCATTCAACCCTCCCTTAGATCCAAGACTTCTGGAAGCTAGGTATGATGTTCTGTGTTTTTTCTGCACTCCTGTTTTAATAGACTAATTGACACTCAGTGAGTGATGTGGTCACCTTCAGATTGGCTGTACTTAATCAACAGTACATTACCTGGTACCTGGTTTAGGCTGTGTCGACCTGGGAGCCAAGATCAGTTATTGAAAACAAATCTGCCTTGATGCGGCTTTAAACCCAAGATCTTCTGGCTGGTAGCTGAGCCTATAGCCACTATGCTACTCTGGCTCCCATAATCTCAAGAAGGCACCTAAGTACTTTATCTATTTTTCTGTGTATGTCTTGAAAAATGCGGTTTGCACACTCTTGTGGTTCATTTAGAATGCAATATCTGGGCCTTTTCATTTAACACATCCAGTTTCACTCTGGGGTAAGAGGAAATGAACGAGTGGATTGGCTTGCTGGCAAGGCCATAGTAGTACAGAAAACGCAGTGGATCGTGCCGACGTTCTCAATACTATCAAGGAGGCAGGACGAGAAGATGATTTAGGAGTTGACATTGAATAAGCAACACATAAAAGATTACAAGAATTTCAGGTCAAAAGAGATATCCCCAGACATGACCACCATACAGGTAGCCAAAGCAAAATAGTAAACCAACAAAGAACTGTTGTTTCGGTTGCTACACACTGAGGGATATACTGAAGATTGGATCCGAGCGCTTATGGACTTGTCTGATGTGCAATGAGGATAATCTGTCGATTAATTAACTAACGTCCAGTTTCAGCAAAACCCTAATTAGTTGCATCTTACAACTGCTTGTTGGGTGCAGTGGGTCTGGGTCTGCTATTGTTTCCTCAAAATGAGGCCCTGAAGCACACACAGGAAGAACCTGACATAATAAATATGCTGATGAGAGTGCTTTTATTTTGTAATGCAACAGTTCAACAATATTTCTCACCCAGATTCACTGCTCTAGTATTGTCTGTGAGTCACCTGGTAATGATTACAAAGAATGCATGCCAAATGTCTGGCACACTTGACTGGATAGATCAAAGTTTGGCTGATGTGGAGGATCATTTGAGGGTTAGTACTTAGATTTTTTTTTTAGTTAGTGGTTAATCATGAATGTAAAGGGATAAAGTTTAAGAAGCCAGATTGTAACTTGTATGTGTTGTATTAGACAAAGGTTGATTGCTTTGGATGGTCAGTATAGTAAAGTTTTTTCTTACGTTACAGTTTTGAAGCTTGGACAATCATGTAAGCTGATTTTCTTGTCTTATTCCTTTAAATAATGGCAGGCAATTTGATAACTTATTTCATTTTATCATGAAAAATGAATTAGTTCCAAAAGCTATATAGTAATTTTTTTGTTATAACACTAGATGCTACTGTGGCACAATAACCTATAAAAAAAATTTACAATGTTTCAACAGTCATAAAATAACTCAGTTATATCACATAACAACATGTGGCACGGTGATTTATGTCACAGGCGTGAGGGGAAGTTAAGTCCAACATGATGTGTATAAGGAGATACTCCGTACGTCACTCGGGCGCCAGTCCTTTACTATCCTGGTTGTACGGAACCTCACGCAAGACCCCTACAGCACGTCCTCGTCGTGCGCCACGGATAATGTCTCAAATGAGCATTAACAGAGCTGTCAGGGGATCTCGGAGTTCGGTGGCCCCCAGAGGTGAGGTGTCCTTGTGGCTCTCATCAGCCCGCCCCCAAACGCTTGGGTGAAAAATGTTATCAAAACTCATTAGGAACATGAGTAGGTTTGCCAAACGTACAGCCAAAATTACAACCCTTGGTTAAAAGACTGCGGAGTAAAGAGAACAATGTTCACTGCACATCCTCTGTTAACCCTCAGTGTCGTCATCACCGCGCTGAGGTACTCCACAGCAGCAACCATCCATAGGCTGGCCATCCTTGTACATCCTCGGTTAACCCTCAGTGTCGTCGTCACCGCGCTGAGGTTCACCACAACAGCAACCATCCATCAGATGGCTAAGCCTAAATGTCCGACAAAACTAGATCATACGGATCAAAATCTGACCATCAAAATTTGTATTGAACTGAAAAAGACCGAATGTCCACACCCAAAGACCCCACTCGCCCGAGTGTTGGGACAAAACTGATAACAATATGCCGGATGCAGGATGTAAAATTCTGTCGAGCTAACGGCTCGTCAAAGAAATCTAACGTGCGAGGGGAAAAAAAAAAAGAATGCACCTATCTGTGTGGTCACAAAAGTCCGAAACCCACGGGCTGCTCCCCGCTGACTTCCAGAGGGCGCAGCCCCTGTCGAGCGGGAGGCCTGATACGGTTGTGAGGTTAAGCAGGCATGTGCAGGTGCAGGACGTGACGATTCCTTGGGTGAGCCCAGAACCAGAGCGCCATGTGCCGGCTCTGCATGCATGGAAGCCTCCTTGGATGGCGGGGTATGCCCATGATCTGCCCCTGCCTTCCCTTGAAGGCTAACTGTTCCACAGGGGGCTGCCCCAAAGGGGTACTCCGGGGGCAATACCTGCGGCAAAGGAGACAAAGTGGACACCACAAAAGTCAGGCAACGTCTCGACCCACACAAAACAATGGCCACAGTCACCCTAGAAATAGGCCTGACGTCTTCCTTTGAAGTCGGAGTACAGCTGCCCAGGAGGCAGGGAAATGAAAAATGGTTGTACACGCAAAAATCAGGTCCAGGTGAAAGCCAAAAGTCCAAGCGGACGATTATCCTGGACCTTCCACTGGAATTCACAGCCGGTGATCGATTAAAAAAAAAAAAAAAACATAACAACATACGTTTTTTTGTTGAAATAAGATTGAGCATCAGGCAAAGTAACTTGTTTTATGATGACATGATCATTTGTCATTTTAATGATGGATTTCTTTTTACCTTTTCTTGTCATTAGCATAACACTTTATCATTGGAATATTTTCATAATTAGCTAATAATTTTCTTCTAAAAGGTGCTGCGGGAAGCAAGCATGAATTTAGAGAATCATCACCAAATGAATTCCGCCATCATCTCTGCCTTTCCTTCAAACCTGGAAAACCCTGGCCAGCCATCACTAGTATTGGCAGTTCCAGTCAGGAATGATAATTCACAGCTTTAGTGATTTGTTCACATGCAGCTCTGTCAGATCTCCCAGATATTACCATACACTCAAGTGGCTTAAACTGTAAATTTTGATTCAGCATGTGACTAAAGAGAATGTTTTCTTTTCTCTGCTGTAAATTGGATCAATACTTGCCCCTGTAAATGATGTAAATGAGGATGTCTGGTTTTAATATCGTGGTATGGATACTTTGCATTTTTAATTTTTAAGACATTATTTTGCATAGTTGTTGTTTTTGTTCATGTTACATTTCTGTTATGTTTAATATTGTTAACAACTTTTATGAAGTTGCTAAGAATTGGATGCCTGCATGGTAAGGATTGTAGTTTTCAGTTACAACAGTCCTGAGCCTGCTGCCACCCAATTCTAAATAACTTTAAAAAAGTTGTTGAACACATTTGGGGATAAAGGGCAGAAGAAGAAGGGTTAGGATTTCAGCCTCACACAGCAGGCTACTTTGGTTCCAATTCTTGGTAAGGATTGAGATAATGTTTTTTTAAGTCTGAGATGGAGTAATAACCCTGTTTGGGAAGACTGTTCTGTATTCCTCAAAAGAAAATCCTCTTACATACCAAACAGTAGCATGTTACGATTTACTTTATGTTTGTGCTCCAAGCTGCATTTTTTTTGTATAGTGTCTTGCATTAGCAGTCTGAATGTAGAAGATTGTAATAAATTAGAATGTATTGTGAAAGGCAACAATCTTTATTTTTAGAAGAATTCCACAGAAAATGTGAACATAAAGTAGCAATGGCTGTTAGAATGTAAACATCATAAGCATAATATCAAGCAGCTTTTAGAAAAGTAGTCAAACTGCTTTAAAATTTTAATTTTTATACCAGTGGTTTGCTTCCTTCATAATTGAAAGAAGCTTGCAGCATTTATCCAGACACTTTATGGTTCCCTTAGTGTAGCCAGTAATCCTAACTTCAAAACATGGTGCCCAACAATTTCATATTTTTAAAGATGTCAACTATTTTTTTTCTTCTTATGTGCCAAATGTCAGGAGAAAATAATTAAAGAAAAGAACAAAAACTAATAAAGTAAAAACTTTTCTAACTGGTCTGTAATATAGATGCCTAATGGCTTTAGAAATAAGTTAATAATTAGTTATTACAGATTAATAAAGTATGATTTTCAGTATCTAATGGAAATTAGGTTGAAATATAAAGATAATAATTCTCTGTGGTATAATCATGTGTTTGTTATCCAATGTTGGCAGCATCTACAAGCATTTGAATTTTTCCTAGATGCTGACTGATTATGTTTTGTAAATATGTAATCTTATGTTAGAACTTTATTGTAGATTTTCTGTGATGAACATTAATGAAAAGGCTGATATTATTCATCACAAATTGTTAATCATATGTAAATTCTTTTTTGGCTGATTAATCTCAGATACGATTTCTGGGAAATTAGAAATGATGAAGGAATGTTTTAGGATCTAGAATAGGACTATTCAACCGGTGGTCCATGGGCCAAATCTGGCCCACAGAGGCCCAGCGAGTGGCCTGTGTATTGCCTGCCATTTGTATTGTATTAATGATCTTTCTACACTCCAGTTGTACCCCATGTTTATCCCCATTTTTCAGCATTTTAGCGCTGGGTAAACTGAGTTGAATGGCCCTGGTCTAGAATGTGAAAGTCGAAGTCAGGAGGATCGACCTAATTACCCCCTGTTATCCCATATGGTTTGATCTCTCTCCGCAGAATGGCTGCCGTCCAAAAATTGTGGCCCAAAGCATGAGCTTTGTAGCTCTAACAACGTTCCCCAGAAATCTCTGTAAAGACTTCACATGTGAACTGAATCATGTGTCCGTAAAATTAAATCACGACCTTTCAAAAGCAAACAGCTTGACCATTTTGTGACATGGGATTCTCCCCCCCTCCTCAGATTTTAGGATGGCTTAACACTTCACTCCCTAACTGCATTGTCTGTTATAAGACTATGTGTACCTTTGATTCTGCTGTACACATATTTGGATCCTTGATGGTGCCACATAATTCATACTACTTGTTACTTGTTTTCCGTATTGACATGCTAGCACATTGGTCAATCCACTCATACCCCGTCCTCCAATGCAGCGCCCATCACAGTGTCTCCTTGCTCAACTTACCTGGTAGGAGTTGACTGGCATATCTGTGTTTATTGCTCCTTAGCCGGTTTCTGCATGTTTGCCCTTGTTCAGTACCTATTTCCAACAGGTAGTTCATCCTCTCTGACTCCTTGTATTAACATCAGCCTTGTCCATCATTTTTCCTCTACTAATCACTGCATACATGGCCAGTCTGTCAGCTCTTTTATTTCCTTTTACCCTGGTTTATCCAAGTGTGTACAGCCAAAACAGTTTCTCAAAGCAGGAATTCTGGATACTGTCCCATTCTAGTCAGAGTTTGAAAGTTTGGATCTTCTTAAGCTTGCTTTTTTAGTTGTTGTTGACACCATTAGTGCGTTTGCCAGCCATGCAAGTGCCCCTGTGACAGCTACTATCTCCATTGTCATACTAAAAGTAGTTAAACTGAATGTCTGATTTTATTTTGCTGTCTTTCCATTCACCCGCGCTGTGTTTGCCCACTCAAACCGCACCCGCACGAATTATTGAGCCATCTGTATAGATGATGACATCACCTGGTCAAGTGTGCTTATGGATAAAGATTTGTTTTTCAGCATCAGTGATTGTTTGGCTCTGTTCTCTTTAGTACCTGCCAGGGGTTGATTTTTATCTCAGTGTGCTTCTGCAATTCTTCTCATGTTTCTGTCTGTTCGGCACCGAGCCTGACATGCTTCAGTGGGCAGATTTGGGTAATGGTGTCTTCTGCTTCTGCCATCCAGGACTGTTCTCTTATTAGGCACTTGCCTTTGTCCACCCATGGGCAGCTGTGAAGAGGGTATTTTCTGTCTAGTGACCATGTCTGACAGGTTAATCTAGTCGACTTTTCTGTTTTCTTTCCTTTTGCTTCAATAATGTTGATCACTAGATTTTAGTCAGTGAAGTATATTTATTTTCCATCTGTTGATTGCTGTGCCATAATTTTTTTAAACTGTTTTCAGTATTGTTTTTAGAAATACTGATTTATGCAATTTAATTTGCTTGTGATCTTTGTTTTCAGATAGTATTCTAACTTTCTTCATTTTAGTAAATTTTTTTCCTAAAACATGCCACAACAGATTCTTGACCGCATGCATGGAATAATGGTTTATAAATTTGTTCATGAAGATGCCTCAATTCTGTTGAAATGCATGTTGCAGACCGCATCAAGGCAGATTTTTCACAAAATAATTACCTTGCCTAATGTGGTCCAAGGAAGTAAAGTGTGAGCACCAAATGCATCATCCTCAACAGCCTAAAAATGTACTTTTCTTTTGTTTAATTATTGTAATGTGTATTTCACTGGGATTTTTCATCCTTGAGAAGTGTTTATATGTTACATTCCACGTTGTTATTTTTTGTTCCACCTATTGATTTCATGAATTATAACTACATTCCTGCATGTACATATTATTGCTTGCACCATATCACTATATGCTTTCATATACATCCTTTTTTAAACAGTACTTTCATATTTTGTAAGTACATACTTTACACAGAGAAATCAAAAGCAGTGAATCAAATAATATTGGTGTGATATTTTGCCAAAAGAAACGGTTTGATACTTGTTTATTTTCCTTGCGCACAAACTTGTCTTTTAATTTTGTATGAAATTTGTCTGTATGTTGAAGGCCCAATTGGTCATTAGAGGAAGGAACAAATATAATTTAACTCAGCCACGGATTTCTTAGAAGATTATCATGGTTGCAGACAACCACTATGAAAGATCATATGTGTTCAGCATTCATAAAGGCCTAATTCACAGTACCTAAAAAGTCAGGTTTGCCTAGTGTGTTTCAACCAAATGTGGAAGTTAGAGAACACATGATGATATGGCAGGGACAGGACAGAGCCGTCACTGGAACTGAAAATGAAACTGTGCCATTGTGTAACTTCTACTTTATCTTATTTTATTATTTTTGATAACATATTAATAAATGTTTTGGTCACAAAATGCTACAGTTATAGTTTTTAATTAGGGAAAGATCATAAATTGTAATTGAATAAATGCACCGACCACCCAGACAAAAATAATTTTCTTATTGTTTGAAATTAAGCCAGTAAATTGTTTTATGAGCATTAAATAATTCAAATCATGTCTTTGCTCATCAGATTATACTGTCCTTGCCTTGCCTGTAATGTCTATCCTTATACGCAGCACATTTGTTTCTGTTAAAATAAATATCAACTGAATAGTGTTATGACTTAATGAGAAATCAAAATTTCAGAATCCTGTATTGTTACCCTTCTTCTTATTTTCTGTAAATTGCCTTTGTTATCTCAAATATGTTGTGATAATTACTTAATGAATAATGAATAATGGAATAGATTTTCACTGTGGCCTTCTTTACTTAAAATTTGCCATATTTTTTATTTATAGCAAATACTAGACACATTTTTAAAGTGTTGTATTTTCTGTGATTGTTGTGTGTAGGTGAATTTTGTGTGTGTTAACTGTTACACCTAATTGTGTGTCCTTTTCAGGATTTTGGAAAGCAACCTCAGCATTTATTGGTTTTACTGTGCAATTTTACATTCAGCTACGGAGCACTTATGGGTTACTACCCTTGTGCCATGATGTTGATCCATTGTGAAAACCAAAACCAAACTAAAAACATTCAGTAGTTTGCCATTGCTTTTCTAATCTAATAACTCGTACCGTTGTCAAAATGAATACAAAGTAGTCTGTTACCAAATAACCTATAGTGGACTTATAACATGATTATGTCTAGAATGTGAAATTGCATGAACAGCCTCTAAGACATGGCTGTCAACTGCCAGCCCACGGTCCACATCTGGCCTGTGAAGGTCTAGCAAGTGGCTGGCAGATCATTACCATATGTATTATGTTAGTGGTCTTCCTATGCTGAGACTCGGGCTTCTGGGCTGTGACGATACCCATTTTCA